ACGACGACGCGGTAAGGGGGGGACGGACCCTCGCGACACCGCCGGGCCCATCGCGAGGCGGGAAAGGCACCGGCGTCGGGATCTCCCCGGGATCCCCTACACCAGGATCCCCTATACCGGGAGCCCCTTACCGGGATCTCTCCGGTCCCAACGGGCAGGGACAGGGCAGGGGGTCGGCATCTCCTCACACCCCCGAGACTGTCCAGCAGGGGAAGGGGCAGGGGGTCGGGATCGCCCCTGTGATCACCAGGCTGGGGAAGACTCTGGGTCGCCATCGGGATCCCTCCAAGCACGCGGGACTGGGGGTGCAGGGTCAGGATCCCTCCTGGGATCTCGCACCAGGATCCCCCTAGAGCCAGTCAGACTGGATGCCCCAGGATACTCCACACGATGGCGGCCCCTGGGGACCCTTCTGAAGCCCCTTCTGCTGGGGTGGGGGTCCCCAGTCTGAACCTTCCCAGGAACACACCAGGCTGGAGACGGGGGCACTGGGGAGCCTGGCAGGACCCCTTGCTCTGGGCTGGTCCCTCAATCGGATGCCTGAGCATGGGGCTGCAGATCCTGGCACCAGACCCACACCCTCTTGCATCCCCACAGCTGGACTGGCGGCAGGTGCTGGTGCTGGGGCTGGATGGCGCTGGGAAGAGCAGCGTCCTGCACTACATCTGCAGCCAGACAGCCAGGGAGCGCATCGCACCCACCCACGGCTTCAACTCTGCCCAGCTCTACGTTGAGGGGCTGGAGATGGACCTGCTGGAGGGTAAGCCTGGCCACATCCCCCAGGGCTGAGCCTGCATGGCCCAGAGGGTCCCCCCACCCCCCGGCACCAGGAACATCCCGGGCAGCAGGCCTGGTTCCCTGGGGTGCTGGAGTGAGGCGGCAGCCCCACTCGCCCCTCTGCAGGGGCCTGATCCTGCCCATCTCCTGCAGTGGGGGGCAGCCAGAACCTGAGAGCATACTGGCCTCACTACCTGAGCCAGGCCCATGTGCTGGTGTTTGTGGTGGACTCGGTGGACAGGTCACGCCTGCTGACGGCACGTGAGGAGCTGCACGCACTGCTGGCCGCAGAGCCCCGGCTGCCCCTGGTTGTGCTGGCCAACAAGCAGGTGGGTGTCTGTCCCTGCAGCTGCCCCCAGGACTGTTTGGAGTAAAACTGTCCCTCCCCAGGGGCCTGAGGGGAAATCCTGATACCCAAAATCCACCGGCTCTTGCAAAATCTGATTTCTTGGGACCTGTTTCCTCCAGTCTTCATCAGGAGGAGTGGCTGCCATTACCAGTGCCCCGGCTAATGAGTTTTAGAACAGCACCCAGGCAGCAGCCTGCAAAATCCCCCAGAGGAAATACATTTCCCAGGCAGGCAGCCAAGCGCATGCCTGGTGCTGCTTCACATTTGCCTGTGCCAAAGCGACTCCGATGCAAGAGCGAGGCAGCCCTGCCTGCGCACGATCCCTGCCAGGACCACACAGGCGGGACAGGGCTCCCCGCCAGCCAGCAGTGCTGCTCCCGGCACTGCTCCCCTCCTGAGCAGCCACCTCTCTCCCTCGCAGGATAAGAGCAATGCCCTGAGCGCAGCAGAGCTGCGGGAGGAGCTGGCCCTGCACATGCTCAGTGGACAGCGGGAGCTCTTCCTCCTGCCCACCAGCGCGACCTGGGCCAGCCTGAGCACCGCCACCAGTGTCCTCCGCGTGAAGAGCCTGCTGGTCACCTTGCTCTCCCAGCCCTGACCCCGCACAGGGCGGGGGCAGACGGGCTCCCACCCCGGCACAGCTCCTCTTTGGGGTCTGCAACACAAGGATGGAGGCAACCGGGCAGGAGCCCTGGAGCTCAGACTCGCTGGTAGCAGGCTGCCAGCCCTGGGTGTTTGCTGCACCCAAGGTTTGGGGTTGAGCTGCGGCACGGCTGCCCTCAGGGAACAGGAGCAGCGGGCTCTGCTCTCTGCCACATGGAGAGGGCAGCTCTCTCTCCCAGTTCAGGGATGAAGCCTCCCTTGGGGTGGTGGCATGAGCACAGCTCTTACCTCCTGGTGAGCGGGAATGTGCAGTGTAGGGCAGGGCCCTGCACCTTCATGACAGCCCCGCGGGATATTACATGAGTGGGGTGGAACAAGAGACAGCTCTTACCTCCTGGTGAGCGGGAATGTGCAGCGTAGGGCAGGGCCCTGCACCTTCATGACAGCCCTGCGGGATATTACATGAGTGGGGTGGAACAAGACGGGTACCCCTTTCACCCACTGGCAGACAGGTCATTCCAGGAGATGGGCTCTCCTTCCTGAAAAACATAAGGTGTACAGTGCACATCAGTGGGAATAATCAGCTCAGGCTGTCCCTCACCAGGACAGAGCACAGCTCTGAATTCCCCCAACTCTGTATTTAAAGCCCTGTTTCGGAGATGAAGGCAGGTATTGGGCAGCCCTGTGCCACCCCTTCACCCTGAACAGGGGTAAAGATGGGCTGTTTGATAGGAACTGTGTACAGCAGGCATTTGCTCCCCTGCCTGGTCTTGCTCCCTCTCAGCGGCCCCAGGGAGAAGGTGAAGGAGCCAGGCTCAGGACCTGCAGGAAGCCCTGCCTGCAGGCAGAGGGGCTGCTGGGTCAGGCCATGGGACGCTGGGTCCTGTGAAACCTGTCGTGGAAGCTGTGGGGAAAGAGAGTATGTGCTGGCTAGTGTCTGCTGTGAAACACTTTGTACAATCACTCCTTCTCTTTGTCAATAAAAGAGGCTGATCGCTCTGTGCTGACCTCCAGCTCCTTGGCAGGGAAGGGGCCCCCAGCCCGGTCTTCCGAGCTGGCGGCAGGAAGGTTGCTCGCAGGGGACGGGGAGGGAGGAAGCAGGATGTGGCCCCACCCCAGCCTCTGCTTACAGGGAAATCAGCAAAGGCTGACTGATACACCCCATGGGCCCCCAGCCCCAGTGCTGCAGGGGCTGACACACACCTGATGCCCACGTCCCGCGGGTTGGCATCAGGAGCTCTCCAAAGCCAGACTGCACCAACTGAGAGCCCACAAGCAAGACATTCACACCAGCTTGAAAGAGTAATTTATTTTAACAAAGCAAAGGAAGTGCTGACTGCCACGCAGAAGGATTGCGGCACAGCACATTCAGTCCCAATGCCACAGCCAAGTCTTTCATGCCTGGTTATAACTGCCTCTGTCTAATGAATGTCCTTCCTCCATCACTAGAGGCTTTGCATGGTTCAGCTTGCTGGCGCTGAGCCTGTAACTGTCACCTGTCTCTGTCAGCCCCCACTCAGTTCAGAAATGGTCATGTCAAACCTGCACTTGCAGGCAAACCTGAGAAAAAAAGGCAATCACTGCACGTCCATCTTTTCCTGCTTGAGCGATGCAATGAAATCCTTGTACTCTTCGGGATAGAAATTCTTGTACACATTGATCTTTCTCTTAATCTGCTTGGGAGTATCCTGGTAGTAGTTCTTCTCATCTCGAGCCATTTCCTGTGACAAAGGAAAGGATAAGTCAGAGGAGCGGCCCCAAGAGCAAACACCAAACCAGCCCAGCCATGCTCCAAAGGCCCAACCCAGGACAGCTGTGATCACTGCCTGACTCAGACAGGGACCTGGCCAAGGTTCAAAGTGCTGCTTCCCCTTAACGATCAGCTGACTGCAAAACAGGATCCAGAAGTGCTGCTTCCCCTTATCAATCAGCTGACTGTGAAACAGGATCCAGGACAGAGAGGATTAGTGATTCCCATGCTGCAGACAAGCCAGGAGCAAATCACTTTGTGTGCTCCTCTCTCTGGGACAGCCAGTACTTACCTTGTAGTTCTCCCCGTGGTTCTGTATCATGTACCGCACGTAGTCGATGAGGTCTCGTGAAAGCGTGTTTGACTTCTTCTCAGGGAGACTGGCCTCATATTCCATCTCTAGGCAGAGGACACAGACACCATGAAGCAGGGGAGGGAAGCAAGCAGCACCTCAGAGGTCCCCAGCCTCTTCCCAAGATCAAGCCCTGTCAGTACTGCAGAAAGGAGGTGGCTCCTGCAGCACAGCTCCACTGCTCACACACACAGGGCTGCTTCCAGCATGACTGTGCAAGAAAATGAACAAGACAACAGCCCTCCACATAGGCTGCAGCCGGGCCTGTGCTGCAGCTCCTCTCCAAATCACACCACGAGGAGTGGAGCCTTCCTGGCTGCAGAGTGTGACTGTTCAGAGCTGCCCAACCCACCACTGAAACACCCGGGGTACTGCAGCCACAGTTTCTTGTCACCAGCATGTTTTAGAGTGACCAGAGCCCTCTTGAGGCTGCAGGTAGAAATACTGCAAAAAAGGCAGCGCAGAAGGGAAAAAGAAATGCATGAGATAGAGGACACATGGGAACGGTAGAGCTGCTGTCCTGGCTCCCAGCTCAGGTCTGGCCTGGCTGGGAACCGCCAGCTGACTGCTGCCAGGGGGGTACCCCTCTACAAACCCAGAAGCTTGGACAAGAATTATCAGCCTTCTGTGCTGCTGGCACAGCACAGCAGCTAAGAACAGTTTGGCAGCGCAAAGATGAGAGGCAAAATAACCCCCAGGGCCTTGGGAGAACCCCAAATGCAATGGCAGCACAGAGGCTCAGCAGGG